GTTCAGTGAGAACCAACTGATTTGCATGCCACAGTTCCCAGGTTCTCTCTCCCACCCACCCTCACTCCCACAGCTAAATGGCTCTTCTGCGGCAGACCTGGGAATAGAGCGTTCTTAAGAGAATCATAGAGTTGGAAGGGACCTTCAGGGTCATTCTAGTCCAACCCCCTGCACATTACAGGAAATCCATAAATGCCTCCCCCCACACCCCCAGTGACCCCCCTGTTCCATACCCGGAAGATGACAAAAAAAAAAACACCCTCCAAAGGGGCAATCAGTGTTTCCCTGGGCATGTAAGAAAGGGCCACAAGAAATAAGCACTGATGCCACCCTTCCTGCCCTCATCTAGTCCAACCCCCTGCACAATGCAAGAGATCCACAACCACCTCCCCCGCCCCCGCCCCCGCACACCCAGTGACCCCTGTTCCATGCCCAAAAGGTGAAAAAAAACCTCCAGGATCTCCAGCCAAACTGGCCTGGAGAAAAATTGCTGTCTGACCCCTAACGTGGCGATCAGCATTTCCCTGGGCATGTAAGGAAGGGTCACAAGAACGAAGCACTGAGGCAACCCTCCCTGCCCTCCCTCTTGTGACCTGCCCAAGTTCCCAGAATCCGCATGGCTGTCAAGTGGCCCTCTAGCCTCTGTTTGAAAACCTCCAGAGATGGAGAGCCCACCACCTCCCGAGGAAGCCTGTTCCACTGAGGAAACACTTTGACTGTCAGGAAGTTCTTCCTCATGTTTAGCCGAAAACTCTTCTGATTTAATTTCAACCCATTGGTTCTGGTCCGACCTTCTGGGGCGACAGAAAATATCTCCACACCATCCTCTCTGTATGACAGCCCTTCTCTTAATTCCTCCTTACCAAATTCCTACCTGAAATCCATTTCTTTTCCTCCTTTTAGGAACTTTGAGTCTGTCTCTAATCAGTTAGATTTGAATCCAGGAGCATCTTTGAGACCGACAAGAGCTTCAAGGCGGACGTTTTGGACAGTCAGAGCTCCCTTCGTTCAGGCACAGCCTTGACTCAAAAGCTTCTACCCCGAAACTCGTGTTGGTCTCGAAGCTGCTCCTGGACTCAGATCTAACTGTGTTACTGCAGACCAACACAGCCGCCCTCCAAAACGCCCTCTAACAGGTTCTGTTTGGATCGAAGAGATGCTCAAAGAGGGGGAGGGGCTGCACAGTTTCAGAATTTCACTCTGCAGATGCTCAGAGGCAGGCGGCGTCTTCCCAGCCTCCCTGTTTTCCTGCTAGAACACCACCCTTTGGTGTGTCATGTAAAGCAATTGCGAGGGTTGAAGGTACAGAAGGGTACAAGGAAAGGGGAGTACTGAGGATAAGAGGAGTCAACGGCTGTATCTACACAAGCCCAATAACACCTTAGAGACCAACGAGATTTTGGGGGTCGTAGGCTTCAAGAGTCAAAGCTCCCTTTATCAGCTTTGACTCACAAAAACTTAAATCCTGAACCTCTGAACGTGAAGGTTCCCCTCAGTCACCACGGCTAGCGGCCACTGATAGACCTCTCCTCCATGAATCTATCCTAATCCCCTTTTAAAGCAGTTTATTCGTGAGGACCACAGGAATAAACAGCTTTAAAAGGGGGATTAGATTCATGGAGAGAGAGGTCTATCAGCGGCTACTAGCTGTGGTGACTGAGGAGAACCTCCACATTCAGAGGCAAGTCAGCCTCTGAATACCAGGGCCAGGAGCAACATTCCCTCTCAGCTGTGGAGTCTTGTGAGCAAAAATTCTACTTTGTGAGCTACTGGAATTAAAGTTGGGAGTAGGTGATTTGGCTGCTGCATGAATGAGTTTGCTCTGGAGCCATCCCTTCCTGAGCTAAGACAAAAAATGTGTGAGCCAGAGGCTAAAAAACTGTGAGCTAGCTCACACTAACTGAGCTTAGAGGTAACACTGGCCAGAAGGCAACATCAGGGGAAGGCCTCAGCCTCTCTGCCTTGTTGTTGGCCCTCCAGAGGAACCGGTTGAGGCCACTGTGTGAGGCAGGATGCTGGACGAGATGGACCCTCACTGGACTGACCCAGCAGGGCTCTTCTGATGTCCTTACCCAAAAAACTTTGTTGATCTTCGTGGTGCTACTGGATTCGAATCTAGCTATTCTGTTGCAGGCCAGCAGAGCTGCCTTCTGAATCTATCTACACAAATGAATTTGGGAAACAGACATTCCCCTTGGAGTCCCTAAATTGAGTGGCTAGGTGGCTTAAGAATGGGTTAAATTTAAAAAAAAAAATCCCTCCATTCAGCTCTTGGGATTTCTTCTCAAGGCTTTTGCCCCATATCTTCACGCTCCGCTTCCCAGCCTGGAGGGCCAGAAACTTGCATTTAAAATGAAAACAGAAGGCTTGAGGGTCTTAGGATGATGCAAGAGCAGCAAGACAGGCCTGTCTGTTCATCAGCTGAGGCTCATGAAAAATGCAGGCTCAGTGGGACCGGAGGGCGAAGAGCCAGCTTAAGATTTCCCAGCAGCCGGTCGCAGCAGAGCAGTAAACTTGAACCAGAGAGCAATGAAAGTGGAGTAGAGGCCTCTTAAAAGAAAGGCCCTGGGGCTTCGCCTCCCCCCCCCCCCCCCATTCCGGCTTTGCCGTCCCTGCTTGTTCACCATCGATCGCTCTTGATGCGTTTTCCTCTGCTGTATTTGCAAGAAGGAGTTGCCAAGGTTAAAAACAAAAAAAATCTCCCTCGACGATTCTCTGGCAACCGCCTTTTCGAGGCGTTTTTGTTTTCATTTCGCTCTTGTTCTGAGCAAAACCCTTGATCCCGTCCTTTCCCAGCCTCAGCCTCCCACTCCTGGCCGTCTTGACAGCTTATTGCAGGGTGGCAGGGAAGGGGGCAGGTGCCGCCAGGGCTTTTGTGCAGGTAACATGCAGCCAGCCTACCCCTCTTTTCTCCCCCCCCCCCTTTATACATGTTGTTCTGGTCTGATCTGGTTACCTGTTCCATTGAGGAACGCACACTTGCAGTACAAAAACTTCTTCAGCCGCATGAGCTCACACTGGCTCTCCATTCAGCCTTTCACCCCCGTCCACACGCACACACCCCCTACAGTGTGGAAGCATTTGTGGGGGTCACCTCCGAAGTGCGCCAGAGGTGCCCAAGAGCAGCCAAGCAAGGTGGTTTCATTGGGCAAACCCCGATGGTTCTGCGTCCTTTGGTTTTTGGGATCGGTGCAGGCAGACCTGAGCCAAGCGTTCATCTGGAGTTCAGCCGGGTGACTCAGAGCCAGCCGAGGGGCGGTGGCAGGCAGCCCCTCCCCTCTGCCTCAGCAAGGGGCACGCCTGCCTGGCTGCCCGTTGCCCTGCCTGCCTTTTTTAAATCCCGAGGGCTGAGTTTGTCCTTGGTTTGGGGCAGCAGTGCCCTCTTTCTTGAGATGGCTGGATGCTGCAGACAAGCCTCACAGACAGGTGGGGGAAGTAAAAATAACTGTCAGCCCCTCCCCGCTTCCCCCACCCCCCGTGTAGCCTTTCTCCTGTGCAAATGCGTTTTCACCCCTTGCATATGACCAGGGAAATTCTTCTCACTCCCAGCCATGACTGTTGCGTTCCTCAAAACCTTCTTTGACATCTTGAGTCTGCCCCTGTCAGCTGGTGCTGTGTAGGTTTCTTTTAGCAGTGGAGGGACAAGTGGTTAGTTCAACCCTAACCCGGGAGAATCTAGAACTCTGTGCCCATCAGTTACCTGCCAGAGGTCTTCCAACTGGAAGCCCAGGTGTGTTGTGTTCACCTTTATTATTATGTAGTTCTCTTTGCCCCATCTCAGAGCAGGTTACAGCTTCAAGCCCGTATGTCGTAGAGCGAAACCAGAACGACCCATCTGTCTGCAGCCACGGGGACATTGGGGCACTGGCGGTTGTTGCGGCTTGCTTGGGTTCTTTCAGTGTAGCGGATGGGCAGTGGGCTATCAGGAGAGGCCTAAAGGGACAGGGAAACTTGAGGACGGCGGATGTGCGTGGGGGGGCAGATAAAAGCCCCTCTCCAACATTTTGAGCCCCATCAGAACCTGCATAGGAATGGTTACCCCACTGGCATGCTGGCATGTGAGTGAGGTATAGGAAGCCTGTTTCCTGATGCCTTGTCATGTGCAAGGGGGAGGGGCTGCAGCAGCTCAGTGGCAGAGAGCCTCCGCCTGGCATGCCGAAGGTCCCGTGATCAGTCCCCGGCATCTCCATCTAAGGATCAGGCAGCAGGCGATGGGAAAGACCTCCACTGGAGAGCTGCTGCTCGTCTTGAGTACATAAGAGCAGAAGAGAAGCCAATGTTGGATCAGGCCAATGGCCCATCCAGTCCAACACTCTGTGTCACACAGTGGCCAGAAATACCAGGTGCCATCAGGAGGTCCACCAGTGGGGCCAGGACACTAGAAGCCCTCCCACTGTTGACCCCACCCACAAGCACCAAGAATACAGTAGATAATATTAATTCTGATGGACCAACGATCTGAGTCAGTATAAGGCAGCTTCACGTGTGTATATTATTGTCCGGTAGCAAAAAATATTGTTTTGTATATTGTTGGGGGATGTCCCCCCAGGTAGTCTGAAGTGGTATGCCTAGACGTCTCCCATCTCATTTTGTGCAGTGCGCAGAATAGCGTGTGCTTCTCTTGGCACCCGGGAGCCGTCCCTTCACACGCAGAGGAGAAGATTCCAAAGAGCAGGGTGGGGGCCTTTTCCAGCCTTCCTCTGCCTGTCACAGAAGCTGTCGGCGTTAGTGATTTTGTGTTGATTCCGGAACAAAGATGTGGTCGTCTGTGTTGCCTAGGGAAATGAGTCACCCAGAAAGGTTTCCTCCACTGGGAGCGGGGGGGGGGGGGGAATAAGTTTAATTCTGGATCTCTGCAAAACGCTCATAGCTTTTCAGTATGCCTCCTGACAGCCGTGCAGATCTCCCACCTAGTCGCGCTGCATATCCTGGGCCCTTCTTTTTGGCAGCGTCTCCTTGTAACCCCTCATGGCCCTCCGTTTGTCTCCCCTCTCCGGCAGTGCGCGATCTGATCTTCTGGCGGGACGTGAAGAAGACGGGCGTCGTCTTCAGCACCACCCTGATCTTGCTGCTCTCCTTGGCCGCCTTCAGCGTCATCAGCGTCATCTCATACCTCATCCTGGCGCTCCTCTCCGTCACCATCAGCTTCCGGGTCTACAAGTCGGTCATCCAGGCCGTACAGAAATCCGAAGATGGACACCCATTCAAGTGAGTGGGCTCCGGTCGGCGCCAGGGACTGTGCCGGAACTGCGAGCTGCATTCCTGTCTCACAGGCCACTGAGGCGTCTCTCGTCCTCGGTTCCCACTCCTGTAAAACTGGGCATTCGTATCTGAAAGCCCTTGTGAATTCCCCAGTGGGATGTTCAAACTGTGGAACTGCCTGCCACAAGACAGAATGAAGTCCGCTAGCTTAGATGGCTCTTAAACAGGTTTAAGAGGGCAGATCTGTCAGTGGGCGTTAGTCATGATAGCTAAATGGAGCCTCCGCGTTCTGAGGCATGTGCGTGCCAGGTTAGTATGTATCATAAGTATGCAGTAGATGAGGGCAGTTGCCTCTGTGCCCTGCTTCTGGGCTTCCCAGAGGCACCTGGGTAAGTCACTGCCTGGAACCAGGATGCTGGAATAGGTAGCCTCCCTGTCCCAGCTTGACTCTTTTTAGGTGGCCAGATTGGTTTACAGCAGTAGGATCCTAAGTGAAATGTAGCAGCGATGACCAATGCTCCTCTAAGCTGTGGAGTCTCGTGAGCAAAAATTCTACGTTGAGTGCTACTGGCATTAAAGCTGTGAATGAGCAATTTAGCTACTGCATAAATTAGTTTGCTCTGGAGCCCTCCTTCCTGAGCTAAGACAAAAATGTGTGAGCTGGAGGCTAAAAAACTGTGAGCTAGCTCACACTAGCTCAGCTTAGAGGGAACCAGGGGTCATTTCCTGCAGGAGCGCACAGGAGCGGAGCTCCAGCAGTAAAGAGCCCAAGGGGCGGGCATATGCAACAAGCCCCACCCCCTGTTCCCAGCAGCCCTCAGTCAGAGCAAGAAGCAGCCAGGTAAGTTGCAGAGGCCCCCGCCCCCGGTCCAAAACAGACCAGTGGCAGTTTTATTCAGGTACAAGCTCTCCCTCCTCTGCGAGGACGGATCTGCACGTCCCCCGTCCCCCCAATAGCTAGCAATCCAAAACAGTCCAGTAGAGCCTGAGCGGTGGGTGTTGCCTTCTGACACACTTCCAGTGATGTCAGGGGGTGTGGCATATGCAAATAAGTTATGCTAATGAGCTCCTGCACCTCTTTTTCTATGAAATGACCCCTGGAGAGGACACACTGGTGATGACTAGAGAATTGAGAATTGGGGGGGGGGGCACTGGAAACAATCAGGGGGGAAATGGGGTTCCGGCCCTCTTTTTTGGAGGAGTGTTTTCAGTTTTTCCAGCAGGAAAACTGGAAAATCTGGGGCATCACGGGGTGGGGGAAACCCTCATGTGAAATAAGTTTATCTTTTAGAATGTGAACATTGCTTCTTAAAGCAAAGGTTTTCACACTCAACATGTATATAGCGTGAAAACCCATGCCGACACCTTTCCAACGGAAAAATGTGGGGTATGCTGAAAATAATAACCTCTTGCACCATACTTTCTCTTTTTGAGTGAGAAAAACCTTGGCTCACCAAGCGTTCCACTCATTCCAAAGGTACGCATGGAAAAGTCGGAGGCGTCCCTCAGTTTTTCCAATGGTAAAAAAGGGACAGTTTTGGGGAGCGCCGAAAAAAACCCTGTTGCTATGCTGTGGACCTAGACCACATTTTCAGGAATGCTTTTGTTTAAATTTAAGTAATTTTGGCTACGATTAATATGCTATGATGTGTTTTAATACATTAAGAAAAGAGTTCATTGTTGTCAATGTTGTAATGTTTGGTTTAATATCACCTACTGTGACCCCCTAAGAGAATTTTCTCTTCACTGTAGAATTTGTTTTTTACCAGTCACTTGGATTTTTCCTACCTCTCAGATGGCAAAACATGAGAGCGACATGTGCGACAGTTTGTATGCCATGTATGCCGTCTTGATCTCCTTGGGAGTGGGGCAAAACAAAATGTATAGAGCCCTGTTACTTGAAAGATGCCTCTGTGCTCATGAGAACATAAGAAAAGCCCTGCTGGATCAGACCATTGGTCCATCTAGTCCAGCCTTATACAGAGGCTAACCAGTTCTTCTGGAAGGCCAACAAACCAGCCATAGAGGCCACGACCTTTCCCTGGTGTTGCTTCCTGGCATTGGGATTCAGAGGCTGACTGCCTCTGAAGGTGGAGGTTCCCCTCAGTCACCAAGGCTAGTAGCCAGTGATAGACCTCTCCTCCATGAATCGATCTAGTGCCCTTTTAAAGCTGTCTATGTCTCTGGTCATCACTACATCCACTGGCGGCAAATTCCCCATTGTAATCACTCACTGTGTAAATAATTATTTCCTTTTGTCCATCCTGAACCCACTGCCCATCAACTTCATTGGATGCCCCTCGAGTTCTAGTATTTTGGGAGAAGGCGGTAAAGTTGTCCTTGTCAACTCTGTGCACCCCATGTGTAATTTTATAAACTTCTGTCATGTCCTCCCTTAGTCTCTTTACTAAACTGAACAGTCCCGGACTCTCCTCCTTGACCCCATGCTATGAGCATCCTTCTTACCTTGGCTTTTCGAGAAGCCAGACAGCATGAATCTGTGGATTTGAGGACCACTGGTCCACACCACAGAAGGGGGGAACCTTGTGCAGCCCTGGTGGCTTCATGCAGTCTGATGCCTCTGTTTTTATATTGTACTTTTTCCCTCTTTTTTCTCTCTCTTTCCCAGAGCTTACTTAGATCTGGAGATCACCCTCTCCTCAGAGACTTTTCACAACTACATGAGCTCTGCCATGGTGCACGTCAACCACGCCCTGAAACTCATCACCCGCCTCTTCCTGGTGGAAGACTTGGTAGATTCGCTGAAGGTCAGTGTTGGCCAAGATGAAGCCAGTTTGGTGTAGTGGTTAGGAGCACGGACTCTAATCTGGGAGAACCGGGTTTGATTTCCCACTCTTCCACATGCAGCTGCTGGTGTGTCCTTGGGTCAGTCACAAGTTCTCTCAGAGCTGTTCTCTCAAGGGCAGTTCCAGAAAGAGTTATCTCAGCCCCACTTACCTCACAGGGTGTCTGTTGTTAGAGAGTTAGAGAGAAAAGCAGGGTATGAATGAAGTTACCCAGGTTCAAATCCCTACTCAACTGTAACGCTCCCTGTGCCAGCCTGTGCCTCTGTTTCTCTCTGCCTAGCCTACCTCACAAGATTGTTGTGAGGATACAATGGAGGAAGGGGAAATCGTGCACAACTTTCTCGAGTTCGTTGGAGGAACGACGGGATAGAAATATGCTGGCTCTTCCACAGGAATGGCAGGCCTGGTGAACGCGATCTTTGCCTTTCCATATGGGACAGGCAGAGGGATATCAGGCTCTAGAGGTCACTTTCACAAAAGGCCGTTGGGTTGAATTTTTAAAAGGCTATTTTTATTATTTGCTTTTCCAAATTATCTCATATTCAAATAAAATGTTAGGACATCTAATCACAAAAACCCCTTTGAAATCTACCTTCTAAACCAGGGGTGTCAAACATATGGCCCTCGGGCTGAATGAGGCCCCCGGAGGGCTTCCATCAGGCCCACAGTGGAACTGGCCATCTCCTGCTTCCAGTTCTGCTGCTGCTGCTGCTGCTGCATCATAGCTTGCTTCGCCAGACTCTCTTAATCACTCAGCCACTTCATCTTTTAACCTGGTTCCTAGAGTCAGAACTCTGAGCATGAGATTTCTGTGGTGAATGTCAAGAAATCAAAAGCAGGTTTGCAGCTTACAGAGCTAATGTTTATTTTATTTATTTATTTATATTTGGATTTATATCCCGCCCTACCCCGAAGGCTCATGTTTTAAGCATGTTTTTATTTTAAGTGGGGGGGGGACCCCTTTGTGTTTGTGTCCTTTATAAAGTTTATCTCTCCGCTACCTGGCATCGCAGTTTATGATACACATGGCCCGGCCCAGCAAGGTCTCGTTTATGTCAGATCCAGCCCCCGTAACAAATGAGTTTGACACCCTTGTTCTAAACGATCCATTTCACAGCAGCGGAGAATCACACTAATAATTCTGTTTCCAAAGATTGTGCTGAAGGAAACCTCTCACTTCTGTACACCTAAGGCAGCCAATGAGCCCACGCAGGAGGCAACAGGAGGAGGCAAGGAAGGGTTGGCCAGAAGGAGGAATGGGAAGGGAAGCCTGTGAACAGACAGGAGAAGGGTGAGGGGGGGTGTGAGAAAATGTGGCTGGGAATCCCACTGGAGCCAGGGACGAGCCACAAAAGGTGAGGGTGGCCACTGCTGAGGTTTGCAGTGCTTTCCCAGACTCGGAGTGTGCCCCGTAGTCTTGCTGTCGTGTCGGCACCAAGCAGCCCGTTGCACTGCCTTTGATTCCAGCTAACAGCCCGCCTCCTTTCTTTGGTTGCAGCTGGCAGTCGTCATGTGGCTGATGACATACGTGGGGGCCATCTTTAACGGGATCACCCTCCTCATCCTTGGTAAGACACCGCCGTCGTTGCTTCGGCTGGGTGGTCCTGCGCCAGTCTGGGCTGGGCTTTTTTGACCATGGCAATCTAATACGGGTCTGGAAGGGCACTAGGAACTTTGGAGCCCGTTAAGGGGCTGCTAAGAAGGCCCCTCCCAGTGCCGTGGAGATAATCTGTAGGAGTGCCTTCAGGTTACAAACCTGCCATTAGGCTTTACGTTCCGTTTGATCAGTCCCACCCAGGTTGCCTGCAGTGTTCCGTCTAAGCTGAGTTAGTGTGAGCTAGCTCACAGTTTTTTAGCCTCCAGCTCGCACATTATTGTCTTAGCTCCGAAAGGATGGCTCTGGAGCAGTCTAATTTATGCAGTAGCCAAATCGCCCGCTCACAACTTTAATGCCAGTAGCTCACAAAGTAGGATTTTTGCTCACAAGACTCCACAGCTTAGAGGGAGGGTTGGTGCTTGCCTGCCCTAGTTCCCTTTGTGAACTCTGTCTTGTCTTTTGTTTCCTCCCCAGCGGAGCTGCTGGTTTTCAGCATGCCAGTTGTTTATGAGAAATACAAGGTGAGTAATCCTTCTTTGTGGCAACCCAAATAGCCAAAAGTAGCCCGAGTTATTAGCGCTTGAAAGTTAAGCAGGGTGCATCCGCACTGCACCTCCTGACTTTTTTTGATGGGGGATGGGGTGGGTTCCAGCCATGTTGGAGAACCGTCGCTGTCCCTAACCAAAAGCCTGGCGGAACATCTCTGCCTTCCAGGCCCCGTGGAACTGCATAAGGTCCCACAGGGCTCTGACAGTATTAGGCCGAGAGTTCAGTACTTGGATGGGAGACCACCAAGGAAGCCCAGGGATGCTACGCAGGGGCAGGCAATGGCGAACCCACCTCTGTTCATCTGTTGCCTTGAAAGCCCCATCAGGTGGTTCTATAAGTCGGCTGCAGCTTGGTGGCACTAAATTAAAATAATCGTAGCCCCGCCTCTCCTTGGCTTCTCGAGTCAGCCGCATGAGCACAAGCTCCCTAAAACGAGAGGCCCTTGGCCAGAGCACTGACCCCTTTCACTGCATAGTCCCAGACTGATCTGTCACACAGCTGAGCAGCCGCTTTCTCCTGGTGACTGGACTAGGAACTTTGAAGTCCTGCGGGAGGTTCCTAGGGCCATGCTGACAGCAGAGGGTGGAAATGACACGCTTGGGTTTTCATGCCCTCAGACTTCACACTGTGTTCTAGGGCTCTTCAAAACATTAAGTATTCGCTGGGCGGGGTTCAGTGATGGAACCTCTGCATTGCATGCGGAAGCTCCCAGGTTCGATCCCAGGCCTCTCCAGTTGAAAGGACCAAGCAGTAGGTGATGTGAAAGACCTCTGCCTGAGACTTGCTGCCCATCTGAGTAGACAGTCCTGCCTTTGACAAGACCAGTGGTCTGAGTGTGGGATACAGCAGCCTCGTATGTCCATTCAGAAGCGTTTCAGGGAGGGGAGATGGTATGCAAGCATGAGCTTGGCTGTATATGCACAACCCCTGCTGTGACAACTTCCTGTTCCTTTCTTGGATGTCGTCTTTGGCTTCCTCCAAACCTCACTTGGCTGTTCGTTCGCTTGCCCTCAGACCCAGATCGACCACTACGTTGGGATCGCCCGGGATCAAATCAAGTCGGTGGTTACAAAGTAAGTCTCTGCGAGCCCCAAGTGTGAAATTCCTGATTGAGCACGGGTATCTTTCTGCAGTCCCTCAACAGCCCGTCTGGAAGGTCTGCCGTATTTTGACCGTTTCCCTTTCTGTGCCTTCCGCATCTTCTGTAACCTTGCAGTTAGATCTGCCTACTTCTTTGAGGGGAGCGACTGGCCGTAGCGAGGAACGAAACCCCTCAATATGTGTAGGACAAGCCACAGTGAGTAGGCAGTTTGCTATAAGGAGGCAGCGGCTGTGGGGAGGCTGGGTCTCTCTTCGTGCGCAGAGTTCGTTTTCTGTGGCCAGACCTTAGATCCCCCCTGAGAATATCTCTGATTTCTTCTTTTCAATCCCTGGCTTCTAGCTTTACTTGAGACCCTTCTAACGATTTCTCAAAAAACAACTGTGTGTGTACTATGGCCTGTAGCTTTTTTTTTTTTTTTTAAATAGGTATATATTATGGATATACAAATATACACAAACAACATACACAGCCTATATGTCATTACATATAATTACAAATTATAACCAAGTACACAACCTACTTATAACTACAAAATACAAAAAAAATTGAAACAGGCGATTTACATTTCTTGCCTTTTCCCCCTCTTTGCCAAAGAAAAGAAAGCTGCTTTCCTAAATAATTCCACATTTTTGTTCTAGACACAGTTCTGAGGCTTACACAATATTCATTCATTCTTCCTTTGCCAACTCCGTCGGAAATGTTTAATTCCAAAACAGACCAGCACTCTGCAAATAATTCTTGGGCAGCACTCTCCTTACAATCCTGTTTTAATGTCATTATTTTCTCCCTGATGGTGACAAACTGCATCTGTCATTATTTTGTCGCCTCGGTATCCGAGTCTCATGCTGTGCTGCGTTGGTGGGCAAATGTTCCCCAGAGAGCACTACAGTCAGGGTCTCAAAATCGCTTGGCCCTCCCTGACCCTAAGTATGCCAGGCTGGCATCGACCAGGGCCAGGGACTTTTCAGTGGTGGCTCCAACCTGGTGGAATGAGCTCCCAGATGAGATCCGGGCCCTGCGGAACCTTTTACAGTTCTGCGGGACCTGTAAAATGGAGCTCTTCTGCCAGGCTTTTAGGCCCTGTGCCAATATCATTATCCAGCCTGAGCATGCCGACAGGGAAATCTACCGCTGACTGTATATTTATAGTCAGGGCTCTTTTTGTAGAAAAAGCCAGCAGGAACTCATTAGCATAATAGGCCACACCCAACAGCAGAAACTCATTAGCATATTAGGCCACACCCCTGACAGCACAGCTCATTAGCACATTAGGCCACACCCCCATGTTACCAGAAGTGTGGTTATCCAGCCACACCCACCTTTCGCTTGTTATTCTGTTTACCTTGTTCGTTGTCAAAACCCAGGGCCTTTTTTTGTAGCAGAAACTTCTTTGCATGTTAGGCCACACGCCCCTAATGAGCCAGTTTGGTGTAGTGGTTAAGTGCGCGGACTCTAATCTGGGAGAACCGGGTTTGATTCCCCACTCCTCCACTTGCACCTGCTGATGTGACCTTGGGTCAGTCACAAGCTCTGGCACAGCTGTCCTTGAAAAAGAGCAGTTTCTGTCAAGAGCTCTCTCAGCCCCACCCACCTCACAGGGTGTCTGTTGTGGGGAGGGGAAGGGAAAGGAGTTTGTAAGCCACTCTGAGACACCTTTGGGTAGTGAAGGGCGAGATATAAATCCAATCTCTTCTTCTTCTTCTAATGTAGCCAATCCTAATGGGTTTCTGCTGTTGGGTGTGCCTATTATGCTAATGAGTTCCTGCTGGGTGTGGCCAACTTGGGAGCCAGCCGGAACTCCGTTACTGTGCGTTCCTGCCCCAAAATAGCCCTGTTTATAGTGTACTCTGCTACTATTGTACCGCCATCGCCATATAAACTGTTTTTAGTAACTTATGTTGTGTCTTATGCTGACATTTATGTTGTTGTTTTATCTGTCGCTATTTTTATGGAAGCCGCCCTGAACCTGCCTTGGTGGGGAGGGCGGGATACAAATCAAATAAATAAATAAATAAATAAAATGACTGCTGGCCGGGGGGGGGGGCTACATCCAACCCTCAGAAGCTTTTCCTCTGGCTCTTCAAACTGTTTTAACGATTTATACGCAGCACAGGCTTTTGGCGTGGTGATCCCACAACTCCAGATTTACGGAGAAGGGCGATTCACTTTTTAAAAGAGAGAGAGAGAGAGAGTAGGCGCAAATCAGTAAACCTCCAAAGGTTTGCGACCCACTTCCACAGGTTTGCGACCGACGTCTGAGTTGAGCCATATAAGTTGGGAAATGGTGGGGATAGCAGGACAGCACTTCCGGAGGGGAATGACTGAAATCCCTCAGCCATTCCCAGCCATTAAGAAACAAATGGGGCAGGTGAGGTCCCATCTCGGTCTCAGCCCTGCTTTTGTAGGCTCTCAGTTGGATGGTGGCTGAAAACTCGATGAGCCAGGATCCAACCAGGAGCCTTCAAAAACAGGCAGAGATCAAGATGTAACCCACCGCTGCTCCCTGGCAAAAAAAAATGTCCATCGCTACCCCTTTAAGGCCATGAGTGGCCTAGGCTAGCCTGATCTCATCAGATCTCAGAAGCTAAGTGGGGTCAGGATTTGGATGGGAGACCACCGAGGAAGTCCAAGGTCGCTATGCAGTGGCAGACCACCTCTGAACCTCTCTTTCCTTGAAACCCCACCGGGCCGCCATAAGTCAGCTGTGACTTGACGGTGCTTTTCTCCCCCTCCTCCTCCGCCACCCCCACTGTTTCAAGAAAGAAGATGGGAGCGGGTGGGGCATTTTTCTAGTCACATCTGGGCCACCGCTGGCTTTTGAGAAGCCCAGTGTGGTCACCTCACCGGCTATTCCTGCTTCCTCCCCCTGCTCCATGAGTTCCCAAACCCTGCAGCAGGTCAGGTCCTTTGCTGCTTAGCTGAATAATAGCAGCTGAGCATCTGTAGAGTGATTTAGCATTGAATCAAAATGGCCCAGCCCAAAACAAAAGCCAGGAGCAAGATTGGACTTGCATCTGTTTTTGAGAGCTGCACTTCTGGATTTCTGCTTTGAACTTTTGAGTGAATTGAAAAACATGCTCTCACTATTTGGGCTGAACAGACCGCAAGGAGGGAGTTCAGCACCTGCTACATGTTGTTTTTTCTAAACAAAAAAGGCTCTCAAGGTGGTTCCCAAAATAGTTCAAAACAATAAAACACTGGATCATGAAACTTTCTCATAAACCATCAGCCGTATGAAAGAGAGGGGGTGTAAAATTGAACTCCACTCCATATGCTTGGAGGAATTTTTTAAAGCCTCCATGTCCTTCCAGAAACAAGCAATGGAGCTGATGGGCTTCTAGGGTGGAAGCAGACTGCAGATGCTGTTTTATTTATTTATTTTTCGCATTTATAACCCGCCCATCCCATAAGCGGGCTCAGGGCAGGTCACAGCATTTCAGTAAATACAATAAAATTTAAAACATATAAAAACAGTAGTCATGCTTGCCATCGGGAGAATCCGGCCCATTGATGTCGCTAAGTATGGCCGGTTATCAGTGGCTGGGAGACCGCAACCTCCGGGGGGCCACATGTGGACGCCCACTGCCTCAGCCAAAGGCCTGGCGGAACAGCTCCGTCTTGCAGGCCCTGCGGAATTGAATAAGATCCCGCAGGGCCCTGGTCTCAATAGGGAGCGTGTTCCACCAGGTGGGGGCCCGGGTGGAAAAAAGCCCTGGCCCTGGTCGAGGCTAGGTGGACGTCCTTTGGGCCAGGGATCACCAGGAGATGTTGACTCTCAGAGCGTAATGCTCTCCGAGGCGTATGTGGGAAGAGGTGGTCCCTTAGGTATGTTGGTCCCAGACCATATATCTGCCTTGGATGAGAGTCTGCATGGGGCCTGAAGTGCAGGAGGGTTTGCACAGAAGTAGATGCATTCGGGTGTACTGTGACTCACAACCATTTCGGGCTTGCAGAGTCAAAATGAGCACCTTGAATTGTGCCCAGAAAACACACAGGCAGCAAATGCAGGTGTCCAGGCACCGCACACACTGCACTCTTAACAGCTCACTCTCAACAAAAAGCAGCAGTCTTTATAGTCCCACTGTACATCACATTGGTCATGCCACATCAGGAGTGCTGTTTGCAGTTCTGGCGGTCTCACTTCAAGAGAAATGTGGACAGAATGGAGCAGGTGCAGAAGAGAGCGACGAGGATGACCGGGGGCCTGGAGACCAAGCCCTACGGGGAAAGGCTAAGGGACTTGGGAAAGTTCAGCCTGGAGAAGAGGAGGTTGAGGGGGGACAGGATGGCTCTCTTTAAGTATTTGAAGGGCTGTCACTTTTAGAGGAGGGCAGGGAGCTGTTCCTGTTGGCAGCAGAGGACAGGACTCGCAAGAATGGATTTAAATTACAGCCGGAACTGGTTGGATATTTGGGGGGGGGGGGAATTACAGTAAGAGTAGTTCAGCATTGGAATGGGCCGCCTAGGGCAGTGGTGAGCTCCCCCTCCCAGGCAGTCTTCAAGCAGCGGCTCAACGAACACTTGTCTGGGATGCTTTAGGCTGATCCTGCCTTGAGCAGGGGGTTGGACTAGATGGCCTCCCTCCAACTCTATGATCCTGTGACTCCTTCCAGCTCCGTGATTCTTTGGGGAACAGTCCTTAATCACCCTTTCTCTCTTTTTCTTTTCCTCCGCAGGGTCCAAGCGAAGGTTCCTGGAGTCATGAAGAAGAAAGCCGAATAGCCTTGCAGGGAGCCAAGGGCCAGCCATCACCTCAAAACAAAATGAGAAAAACAACCCCCCCTTCGTGTCATAGCTATAACCATTGTTACTTGTACCTATGAAGGAACATGCCGAGTCAGCTTGATGTCTGCATTCCAAGCTTACCGATTTTATTTTTTATTATTGCCCCCCCCCCAAAATCCCCTTTTAAGCCTAAACACTGGGCTCACAATACACTGGACTATCCACAAACTGGTGTCAGGCGTTGGAAGCTGCGGGGGGAGGGACCAGCACTCCAGGCGATCCTGTCTCAGAGGGAACAATGCGTGTAAAATAAGCCGCCGGAAGCGGGCGCTGTTATCCGGCTAGCGATGCACGGCTCTGCTAGGTGAGAACGGCTGTGAACATTTCTCTCACCACAGCCTGTCAGGCTGAAATAGCTGTACGATGATGGTAGCTCCCTTATTTCTCTCTCCCATCTTTCACCCGATGCCCACCTGTCCCCGTGAGTGAAATCCCAGGGGTCAGCATCGGTGAGCCTCTCGCTAAAGCGGAAGGTGCCTCTGCTACTGTCTGTCTGTCTGTCTCTGGGTTCTACTGTCTTTCTGGCATGGATTAATCTATAATGCAAAACCAAGCTTAAGGGAGCTTCCCCCCCCCCCCAAACCCCAACCCTCGTGTACCCTCCACGCACTCCAGCC